AAGCCCACTCCTCTCATTAAGCTAGAAAAAAGACAAATAAAATAATTGGTCAGTTCAGGTGTTTTATAAAATATGTGAATCAGGAAATTGTCTCTATAGCAAATTGAATGATTGTTGTTCTCTATTTAAACACCTCATTTTATATCAGTGTTAAATTCTTTTTAAAGTAACAGATTATAATTAAAAATGTCTCCGGACTTTATCTGGTTGTTGACTTTCTTTATTCGGACCCCGTTGATTTTTAATTGGTGACCCCTGCCCTAAAGCCTTCACAGAACAGCTTTTACTGAGCGTAAACTGCCCTATAGGTAACTGCTGATGGGGAATAGCTTCAATTAGCTTTGTATCCTTTACCTTACACTTTTGTATTTTGTACTATTTTCTGTTGGTAACTTCAAACCCCATTAAAAATGTGTGGCTGTGTTTTTTTTTGTAGTGAGGGAGGAGATTCCTGGTCAGATCTGCGTGTTGGTTTGATGACGTACGACACCAGGATCCACCTGTATGACCTCAGTCCCGACCTGACCCGTCCGCACATGCTGGTCATTGCTGACACGGAGGACATGCAGCTCCCTGTGAGGGCGGGGCTTCTGGTGTCCCTTAAACACTGTATTGAAAGTTTAGACAGGTAATGAGAATAACCACCTGCCCTGTCTGCTTCTTTTTTTGTGTGCAATTATTGCTTAGGTAAGAAAATATATTTTGTCCTTAGCTTTGCAAGTTTGGCTGTTATACAAGGATCTTCTGGTAATAATTGCTCAATTTGTTGCATTTGATTATTCGACCAAGTAGCAGAGTATGCAGTTATTTTGTTGATGCTTTTAAATCATGTTTACGTTTTTTTTAAATAAATACTAAATCACTATGCTGCCTTTTATTGTTGAGGACCAGAAGATTTCTGCTTTGTTTTCTGAATAAAAACAGATTCATTTGATTGAGGTTCCTACTTTATTATTTTGTTGTTTTTAAGTAAAGGTAAGTGAAAAAAAAGTTTCTTCATTATTTATATATCTTTACTCTATTTCTTGTTTGCAGCGTGTTGCAGCTGATTCCTCAGTTCAGCGCTGATTGCAGTGACTCCACTGGACTCCCCATTGAGCTTCCTGTTAAAGCCGGCCTGGCTGTCCTGCAGGTGCAGCATCAATAAAAACACCATGCTAATGCGTGTTTCTTTCCAAGCGATACCGATTTGCAGCCGACATGAACTGAGATGATTTTCCAAAAACATGTAGGGCTTAAAGTGTCCGGGGAAACTGCTCGTCTTCCACAGCGCTGCTCTGATGGAGACGGGAAACACAACCTCTTCCTCAGGGTTCTTTGGGACCAACAAACCAAAGGTACAACTAAGTCACACAAACTGTGTTACGTTAATTAGAGATTCTTTTAATTTAAAGTGGTTTCTCTCCTTTTTTTTTTTGTGCTCCGTCTTAGTCCATCTTTCAGCCATCAGAAAAAGCCATCTCATTGGCCAAGGAGTGCATCAGCCAGGGATGCGGCGTGCACATGTTTGTTTTGTCACAGCAAGATGTGGGCGGGGCATGGCCAGGCCACATTCCTTATTTAACCGGTGGAGCTTTGCATACCTACGGCTACCTCCAGGTACAGCAGTAGCTCCTCTCACTTTAGAGCTGCAAATTATTTTCGTGACTCATTTGATCCTTAAGGAAAAATTATGTTGATTACCGTATTTACTAGACTATAAGGCGCACTGAATATTAGACGCACAGGCCAAGATTAGGGGAAAATCCTGTTTTTAGCCGCACCTGACTAAAAGCCACATACAAGTGACATACTTTTTACGTATATGACCAACTACCAGTAATTACAAGTACCAAACATGTATTCTGCTGTTTAAACGGATAACAAATGTGCTGTATAAAAATAAAATACAGCACACCAGAAAAAAATAGAAAAGTCAGTCATTCATCGACATTTTCTTCTTCCTGTCCACTAAAACCACCAAAGTCCGCTTCTTCAGTGTCGGAAACAAACAGCTCAGGGTGGCTTCATCGTCCATTCTCCGCTTCTCTCGTTCACTGTCGCTTTCAAAACCAGAGAACTCCTCGTTGTCAGTGAGAGTCGAACCCCCTCTGAAGGGCTGTAGCGATATCCTCCTCTCCATCACGCAGCAGTCCAGCCCATCGCAATCATGGTCAGAATCCACTGGCAGATATGGGCAAAACTTGCTTTTTGTATGAACCGGTTTTAGTGAATTATTTATCGCCGCTTGTCGTCCACGCTTCCCGCTGAATGTGTATTGCTACTTTGAATGCACGATTCACGCTCATGTCGAGTGGCTGCAGTTGCTTCTTTTTGGCATTAAATAGTACAGCCTGGTGGACGAACATATGGCCAACATACCACCCTTTTCTGTGCATACTGTGTCTGATCATATGCCCTTCCGCCAGGCAAAGTAGTCCCGTGCAACAGTGGAAGAAACCAAAATAAATCCTCTTAGGATTCCACAAAAATAATTTAAAAATCCATAGAAAAGACTCATCAGAGGATAAGATGCATGGTTTGAAACTCATGAAAAAAGTAGCGACTTATCGTCAGAAAATTATGGTATTCTGTTCTTTAATTTGGAATTGCTGACGTTCCAGCCAGTGGTAAATCTGTTCTTCCCCGGCCTGTTGTGAAGGTGTTAAAGTAACCATGCAGAGATAAAGCCTCATTTAACTGCTATTTGTAATGTTTCTGTTACAGGGCGAACTGGACAGAGAGAGTTTCAGCACAGACCTGAAGCTGATTGTAGAGGCGGGCACAGGCTACCAGGCTGAGCTCAGGATATTCGTCAGCAAAGGTGAAAGATGCTTTTACTGTTCCTGCACTTTCCTTCTTTAAACGGGGGATTAAACCGTCTGTTTCCCCCTACCAGATTTACGTGTATCTGGTTGCTATGGAATGTTCGTCCCCGGTTTGAACCCTGGACACGTCACCATGGCAACGCTTGACAGGAGGACCACTCTAGCCGTGGAGCTCGCACACAGCAAAGCTTTGGATGAGACAAGAGGTGCAGCCTTACAGGTGAGATCAGAGATAAAGGCCGAGATGTCCTCAGAACTGAAGGGCTCCTTTAGCATCAGGCTGCTGCATCTACCACATTGAACCTCATTGTTCCTCCCTGCAGCTGGATATCTACTGTATCGCTACCCCCACTGCTTTAAAACTCTACAAATGTTCTTACTTGTTTTCTCTTCACACTATGGCAACTTTATTTATATAGCACAATTCAGTACATGGATAATTCACAATGCTTTACATTAATTAAACAGTAAAATAGAAGGAATATAAAAGCAAGTAAAACAAAAATAACAAACATAAAAACATTATAAAAGCAGGTAGTAAAGCAAATAAAACAACTGGACCACACACTTAAACTAATGATACCTCAGTTAAAAGTTTAACATCATCAGTCAAAGGCAGCTCTGAACAAAATAGTTTTTTTTTACTTTGACTTAACAGAACATAGGCTTTCAGCACTTTTACTGTCTTCCATAAGTTTGTTT